GAGAGAGAGAGGTGTGAGAGAGAGATAACAGAGAAGAGAGAGAGAGAGAGAGAGAGAGAGAGAGAGAGAGAGAGAGTGAGAGAGAGAGAGAGGGTTATGAAGGAGATTATGATGACACGATAATGATGTATGTCTAGTGCATCATTTGCAATGCCCGTATGTTTATTCTATGTTTCTTGTCGCGTTGATTATTGCAGACAGAGGTAACGATAACTGGCTGATAAAGCTGGAGAAGCCAGACATAGTAGACAGCTCACCAGACTCTCCTGCTGCTGTGAGTGAACTCCTCAATTCAAGATGCTGCACATCCCTTTATATATATATATATATATCAGGAGTAGATAATAGGGAAGGAGTGTGACTTCAATAAACAAGGGAAATTCGTCTATTACTAGCCTTAGAATACCTACGATTTACTACGTGTAACTCAACCAACTTGAGCTCAAATCGTACACAGTACATTCGCCTAGCATCGAGTGAAATCGTTTCCTCGTATACACCCGCAATCCGGAGATACAGACTAAAACGTACGACACGATTATCCATTCTGTTGCCATCAATTCGAATGTATTGTCCGCCTAACTCGAAACAAAAGGCAGCTACTAACCACAGCTTGCTCTCTCGGCGAGGCGGTGTGGCTCGCTGGGAGATTGGACATCGACGCAACACTCGGCGAGCTAATCTGACCTATTTACAGCTGGTATGCCCCCCTCCCCCACCGCAATCAGCAGCAGCTCTGCGGCTCAGCGGCAGCGTGCCAATCTCCCAGCGAGCCACACCGCCTCGCCGAGAGAGCAAGCTGTGGTTAGTAGCTGCTTTTTGTTTCGAGTTAGGCGGACAATACATTCGAATTGATGGCAACAGAATGGATAATCGTGTAGTACGTTTTAGTCTGTATCTCCGGATTGCGGGTGTATACGAGGAAACGATTTCGCACGATGCTAGGCGAATGTACTGTGTACGATGTCGATTTGAGCTCATGTTGGTTGAGTTACGTAAATCGTAGGTATTCTAAGGCTAGTAAATGACAAATTTTCCTTGTTTATTGAAGTCACACTCCTTCCCTATTATCTACTGATATATATATATATATATATATATGGCTTCGTCTTGTGGAATATGTTGCTGCATCCTGCTCCTCTCCTATAGTTGCCTCTACTAAGCCTTACAGCGTAATGGCAATGAGTAATATGATAGTCAAATCCACACGTCATCATATTAAAGTGGATCTGCTTCTCGTAGAGTTGACCCACATCTCTATTTCACGAGTATCGGGCTAACGCTTCGTTAGCTTCCCACACTGACAGGTTTACGCTGTATATAAACATGTATATGTATTACACTGAGATGAATGACAATCAATGTACGATGCAGCTGGTAACAGCTGTCATTCAGATTTTAGTGTGAACCCAGATTTAACTGGGCTGCGATTGGCATTTAAGAACACAGGTATTTTTTTCTGCTTGGCAGACAAGTGATTGGAACTTGGTTACAAGTCCGGAGATACGAATTGCTGCCATAGACAATGGGTTGGCATTTCCATTCAAACACCCGGACATGTGGAGAGCTTGTGAGTACTGCCGCATGTCTTTGTGCCATCCCTGCTCTATCGTTCACCTGTGGAGAGCATTCGTAGTGTCTGGTATGTCTCTGCAGGATGCACCCCTGGTGTGCATTGCATTTTTAGAGGGAACCTCTAAACCACCCACCAAGTCGTGGTGCATCTGTCACAGATTTTTAATACTGAGCGTAGCTGCTCTAGGCTAAGGTTCCATTGATCTGTAGGTGACACCACGAATACCCGATGCATTCGTTACAGATCCATACTACTGGGCGTGGTTGCCTCAGGCAAAGGTTCCATTCTCAGAGGAGATCAAGGAGCTTGTGCTTCCACAGCTCAGCGACATGCACTTTGTAGAGGAGCTATGTGATGAACTACACGATCTGTTCAAGGTATTACTCCACGCACAGTAGATGTAATATAGTTATGAACTCACACTTAGCCTATATGTTCACACTGTGCATGTGAATCGGTAGCTGTTTGCAATTGCGTATCTCTCCTCTTGTTACTTCTGTTCTTCTCACTTTCTGCCCCTCTTCTCTGCTGCCATGGCTTTAGTGGGTCTTACTCTAGATTCCTATCTACCGTGTTCATTTCTCCCTCCTCTGCCACATTGATCTTTGCTTCTTGTTCTTTTACCTTTTTCTCTGATGCGTGAATCACCTCCTCCACCATTTCGCCCTTACTCTCCTCTTCTTGGCTTTTCTTGTCTAACACAAAGTTGGCAATCTCCTCCACCATTTCGCCCTTACTCTCCTCTTCTTGGCTTTTCTTGTCTAACACAAAGTTGGCAATCTCCTCCACCATTTCGCCCTTACTCTCCTCTTGCCTTATCTTGTCTAACACAAAGTTGGCAGTGTAAACCCAGCTTAACATGTCCTCGACGTTAACCCTTCACGATATGTTAACGCCCGTGTGATCACACGATACGAGGTTTATTACATTCGTATCCGGACAACTACCCACTGGACAATTACCCACCGGACAATTACCCCCCGGACAATTACCCACCAGGACAATTACCCACCCGGACAATTACCCCACCCACCAGGACATATACCCACCAGGGACGATTACCCCACCAGGACAACTTACCCACCAGGACATTTACCCCACCAGAACAATTACCCCCACGTAGGACAACTACCCACCAGGAACAATTACCCCACTAGGACAACTTACCCCGAACAATTACCACCCGGACAAGTTACCCACCAGGACAATTACCCCCACCCCCGGACGATTACCCCTAAGCCCCCCCCCACACACAACCGTACATGTAATTTGATTATTATTAACGCGACCAACTTTCATGATTTCATAATTTCAACTTCACATTTCACTGATTTACTGCGATATTCTTGACTTATTTGCGACATTTCCGCATTACCCGATTTTGAAGTTCATTTATCGGAAGTATCGCGCTTTCAACCTGCCGCATCAGCAGCAGTGAGCGAGCCACAGCCACCAATGCACACGTACATGTCGAGACATTTTTCAGGGTCGCTATAGGGTAACGCTACGACCACAGTGCACACGCACGCAGTACGTGTACTGTGCACACACACGCACGCACGTCCGGCACATTGCACGCGACAGCATCAGCGCGCAGGTGTATTCGTACGAGCACGCGGACTGGCGCGCCGCATGGTTAAACCCAGCTTACATCCGACGCGGAAACGCCAAGAAGGAGGAGCATTGGACGCACCCCGTGTACGTACACACGCACGCGCGCGCCAATCGTGTACAGTACACGAGACGCACGCCGCACGCACGTGTACGAGTTAGCGACACACACGCACCACGTGCACGTGTTACTTGTGCAAACGCAGCACGCATGTGGGTGTGAGCACGTCTACGCTGTGCCCGTGACTGTTACGTGTGCGTTACGGTGAGCTGTTGTACGTGCACTGACACATCGGGGCGGTTGTGCTGACAGACATGGTCGAACATGAGCAACGCAGATACTGACAAAGACGCAAGTAGTGGATACCGTGCACGAACGCACGAGGTGGGAGGGGGAGCGCGCGTGTGCTAGCCGTGGCACCACAACGGGAGGTCGAGCTGCCCGGTTGTATCTTCTTAACACGGGTGGGCAGGTAGCTACTATGTAGACGCACGCCACCGCGCCACACTGCTCTACCGTTCTACACACTGCGCACCGGCCCTCTCTACCGGTGCATTCACGCACGCTGGGGGTGATTCACCGAGCAGCATCCGGGCGGGGCCGGGACTGTCACCCTACGACAGTGTACACTCACGCCGCACATGCCGCAGGGCACGACCGCCAGCGTGTCACGTGACCACGGCCGCCCCACCTCCGCCCCTACCTCACGGCACCGTGCTCTTCATCTGCCTCTTACGCTCTTTGTCCGCCACAACACACCGGCCCAAACAGCCACACCGACCACACCACAATCAGCACCACACACAACGCCAACCCAGTGTACTGCCTGCACACTACCACGGGCCACAGCACACGTGCTACACGCACGCCACGCCACGCCACGTCCCCCCCGCGTGTGTCGAGCCGTGTGCACTTATCCCGTCACGCTACAGCACGGTGGCTACGTCGCAAGCACAACACGACAACGCCACGGGCTGCGATGACCGCTGCTCGCGCTCGTCCCGCGGATCCTAGTCCGACAGGCGCCCCCAACTAGTTCCGAGAAGCCCAACTAGCTCCGAACCCAACGTGCACACTAGTACGAGGAAAACCAACACGCGGGACTGGGGTCCCGCTGCAACGCCTGCCGCGCCGCCGCCGCCGCTCCGCCCGGTACTCGATCGCTTAGATAGTCTTCCCGCTAGATGTTTTAAGTTAACGCTTAGCATGACACATTAACTTATTTTTTATATAGCACACACATATTAAGCTTATTTCATTTATTAACTTTATCTCAAAATCTTTAATTTAAATTCTTTACAATTTTTCAAATTTTATTTTAATTTGAAATTTAATTTTCATTCATTTCTTTAATCGGAAATATTTTTTGAGCCACCACGCACCACCCACCGCACACTAATACTAGTATAGCTAGCTCAAGTCACTAGTTAGTACGACAATCAGACGAACCGACACCTATACTAGTCCAGTAGGCGGTTTTGGAGCAAATTTTTGCTCCTTTTTTTTTTTTTTTCCTGCCCCCCATCCTCATTGATGCTCCGGGCTTGTCAATTCATGAGCTCCTATTAGACCCTTCTTGGTAAATATTATTCGATGCCACTGTGTCTGTTGCGGCCACACAAATGGCTGAAATCACCACAAATGCTAAAAATAACACAAATATCATAACATGCCCGCTCAACCACAAATGTAAAAATGTTGCTTTAACCACAATGCTAAACAACTTTATTCCTCTGTAAAGATAGTTCATTATTCAGGATGTATGTAGTGTCGTGAAGTGTTGTGGCGTAGGCCGTGCGGACTGTGTGTGCCACGAACACACCACATGGTGTGTGTGCACACGACACAGCACACCACACGAACCACACGACACATGTGGGGTTCGGAACACCACTGATCGCTAGACTAGCTCAGCTGACTGTAGTTGCATGACATTGTGTTGTGATGTGTGTGGTTCCTGACACACACAGCACACACACCACCACACACACACACCATGCTTGATGCTGAACCACACCACGAACACACACACGCACCACACACACAGAACACCACATGATATAATGTTAGTATAGAATGGTGAGAAACAAACTGTGTCAGCGTGTGTGTCGTGCTACGCGGTTGTGTGTAGTGATAGGCCCCCCCCCAGCCGGTCGTGTGCGCTGCCTTCGCTGTGTGTGTGCACTCGATGTGCTCAGCCCCCCCCCCTCGCTAGTCGCCGCCAGTGTGTGTGTGTGTGTGTGTGTGCTGTTGTCGTGTGGTGTGATGTGTGTGGTGTGTGCTGTGTGTGATGTGTGTGGTGGCCCCCGGCGCACCGGCACTACCACCAGCCGCGCCGACAAAACACTGCCCGGCTCTGCCTGTGCTGTGTGTGTGTCGTGTGTGGTGGCAAACCAGAAAATCTGAAGTGCCATGCGATGCTGTACACACAAGCAAAAGGAAAAAAAGTAAGTAAGTGTAGACTGTGTCGATGAATAGTAGGACCAAGTGCCACGCGAACCAGAATCACCGGAAAGCGCGCAAGACGTCACCAACAACAAACACTGTGTGTGTGTGTGTGTGTGTGTGTGTGGTGACGCACCGCCGCCAAAACAGAGAGGGACGCCGGCAAGAGCAGGCACAGGACATGAAGCAAGGGAGGATGTGGTGCTACAAGTGAACATGTAAGTAGTGTGGTTGTGAATGACCAGATGCGGGTAGAGGGTGTTACCCGTGGGCATGGAGGAGGACGTGATGTGTTTGTGTCGATGTGTGCGTGGCCCGGCAAACTGATGATCGTGTGTGTGTGTGTGTTGTGTGGTGTGTGTGTGTTGTGTGTGTGTGTGTGTCGCGTGTGTGTGTGATGTGTGTGTGTGTGTGTGTGTGTGAGTGTGGAGTGCGTGGCGTGTGTGGCGTCGGCTGCGTGCATGTGTGCGTGCCGCGCAAGACCGCGATGGCGTGCTGGTACCGTCATGCGCGTGCGCTGCGTATGGCCGTCGGTAGAGGGGACTCGTGTGTATGCGAATGTAACCTGCTCAGCTGCGTGCCGATAAGAAAGATTGGCGAGGGTATTACGGCGGGCGGGTATAACGAGGTTTTACCGTAGTGCTACAATTTTGCCAGCACTCCACAACACCTAGCCTTCCCACACACACCTCCCCCCTACATCCCCTAAAAAATGCCAATAATTTAAAAAAAAATGAAAATTTAAAAAATGAAAATTTAAATTAAAATTAATTAATTCAATTAATTAAACATTAGGTATAGATGCGGTACGCGCATCCCCTGTGGCGGTTTTCGACTAGTGGCTGTTTTTGCGGACTAGTGGCTTCGGACTTAGTGGGTTTTCGGACTTTGTGGCTTTCGGCCCTATTGGGCCGTCCCGACTAGCGAAGGCTGATCCGGCACGCACGTGTAGTGCACATCGCCACACTTGCAGCCGCCGCACGTGTACGTAGCACACGTCACGCACGCACGTGTACGCTGTCGCTGCTTTCCACGATGTGTGAACTGCAATCATACAAGATGCAAAATGAGGGGCCACTATCAGCATCCGCCCAGCACTCATGTAGACAGAGCTACTGTCGCGTACCGAGGCAAGGTGGGGGGGATGGTCGGCATAGCCATCACATACTAGCACGTACGCACAAGCCGCCAATTTATTTACGCCACACAGCCGCGCGATCGCGCACGCCACGAACATTACACACACACACACCACACACAACACACCACACACACACACACACACAACACGACACACAACACACACATACACGACACAGCATTACGCACACATGCAGCCACATGCACACCACATACACACACAACGAACAACACACACACACACACCCAAAACACACGTACATACATTATATAATGCATATCATACATGCCACGCACATGCAATTTTGATACTGTACTGTTATGGCACGTGCCGTAGGGCATGTACAATTTTTGAGATATTTAAAGCATTTTCCTGCAGATCTGAGGCGCATAGCTATGGGCCATATCTCATGTCTTGATAAACAGTATCTCAACCCTAGCACTCAAACCTACGCAACAGTTAGGATTCAAACACTTTTCAATGACTATTCAGAGAGTGTAACAGTTAGCGTTACCTAATAGTATAATAGCATGTATTCAAAACACATGGCTAAGATTGCCCAATTTCTCACAATTTCACGTGTTTTTGATGTTTGCCACGATACTTGCTATTTTTTTTTTCTTTTTTTGTGATTTTCAGGGGGGATATTGTACAGGCGCATCCCCCGGCCTCCTTTCAAGAGCGGGGGGGGGGCCATCCCCCCCGGCGATTACGAACCCTCCTAGCACACACACAGCACAAAACAGTTACATAATCATAACGTACATGGCCAAGACCACAGATCATTTGGGGATACCAACATTTCCGTCAATCTATAGCGACGGGGTAGCGGGCGCAGCTGCCCTCGCCCCCGCGGTCCCAATTATCAACGCCGCTGTTCGCTAACAGCATGGCGGTTAGGGCATTTCTCTCTTTTTCAGACATACATTCATGTATTGCAGCAGACAAAATTACGGAAGGGGGAATTTTTCCTTATTGCGAAGGTTAGCGGACGACAGTAATTGTCCTGGTGGCGTTATTGTCTGCAATAGGTGGGACGTGTCCTAGTGTGGGTAATTGTCGCTGTGCCTGTCACCCGTCCGGTGGGTAAGTTGTCCTGGTGGATTCGGCGGTGGTAATTGTCCGGGTGCGGTAATTGTGCCGGTTGGGTAATTGTCGCGGGGGGTAATTGCTCCTGGTGGGGTAACTTGTGCGTGGCTATTGCGGGGGAAATTGTCCGGTAAAGCGCGTGAGAGTAATTGTCCAGTGGGTAGTTGTCCTAGAATCATTACATTGTGTGTTGCTGCTATTGCAGATTGACAAAGGTTTCGACAAGCACGTGTTTGAGAAACAGATGTCAGTGGATGAAAAGTGGGACAAGGGGTTGGTAGCGCTCTCTATCGTCATATCTTCCATTCATGTTTGCTATCTGATATGACGAAATGATTTCTTTTCGTTATGTGAAATTGTATTGCGATGCATATCTGGTACTATTTATCAAATGTTTCTGCTAACAGAGGGCGCTGCATGTTTAATTTACACTTGTCTGCTTCACAAAATGTTGTGAAATTGAATATTTTTGTGAAATGTCTATTTATGAGGATCCAACCTCTTGGATCCGTTTGATGACTGATACACATTAAGGTCAGGGGCCGGTTTCACGAAGCGTGATTAACTTTAATTATGATTAAATCACTAATCTTAGATTAACTTCCAACTAATTTATGATTAGTTAAATCAACTACTTAAAAATCTGTTTCACGAAGCCGATTTTAATGTATGCAATATTTTAACTAATCACATAAATAGCCGACTTAAACATAAATTACACTATTCAAATGGCGGACAACAGCCAAAAGTATCTGCAATTGCCGGTACATGAAAAGGAATAATGTTGCAGTTATAATGACTAAATTAGTAAGCTAAATCTTAGATAATTTAAATTCTCTTGGCGTAAAAAATTTTTTTGAAGTAAATTTCAGCCATTGTGAAATCTGCAGCGTACTCTAATATACTAGTACTACCTATACTACTACTACAAGTTACTAGCGCTGACTAGCGTCTATGTATCCCGAGGGTGGGTACGGTTCGGTTATACCAAAACGTACCGCTGGTTAACTATCCAGATGAGACGGGGAGATACTAGAGAAGCGTGCTGCTGAAAGGAGATGGTTGCATCGCAATTGCGCTGACCAGCGCAGATTTCGCGCAGTTACCGCGGCAAGGCGTCACGACGACGCCAGCAACATCGCGGAACGTTCCATACGGACAAGTAGTGACAGCTAGACTGCGCAGCCTGATGGATCCCAATACCGTGCCGAGACCGAATGAAAATTGCGCATAGGACGAGAAGTCAACAAAACAAAGAAAAAAACAAAAGAAGAAGACAGGAGCCTGGACGGAACCATACCAGGAATGAGACCGAACAGAAAAAATAGTACGCTACGGGACGCATCCACTGAGTAACTGCAGGATGGACAGGGGAGCGCGCATCAAGTCCGCAAATTCTTTCAGTGGCGCAGACGGTGTCACAGGCGCCAAGGGCGCTAGGTAACATCTTAGCGACTCCGTGACCGCAAAGCGGATGATGGAGGGGAGGGGATGAAAAAAAGAAAATCGGGGACGTCAACAGGTGTTTGACATTGCTATAAGAAACNGATTTGTAATTATTAATTATTTTCTTGTAATTAACATTTATTAGGAATGTCATCAATTTTATGGATTCGTATGTGTGCATGTATTTGCGTACATGCACCTGCATTTCTCTCATTTTCTAATCATCACATCAATGATTCCTGACGAATTATGAATCAGACTGTGATCTTGAACCTAATTTTGCATGCGTGTATGCACATACGTGCACAAACGCACGTCTCTCATTTCTAATCATCATGCCATTGATTCCTGACGAATTATGAATCGGACTGTGATCTTGAACCTAATTTTGCATGCGTGCATGCACATACATGCGCCCACACACTTGTTTCGCATTTCTAACCATCACACGATTGATTCGTGACAGATCATGAACTTGACCCTGATCTTGAACCTATTTCTGAATGCGTGCATGCACATACACACACATGTCTCGAATTTCTAACCATTACACCATTGATTCGTGACAGATCATGAACTTGACCCTGATCTTGAACCTATTTCTGAATGCGTGCATGCACATACATGCACACACACACGTGTCTCGCATTTCTAACCATCACACCATTGATTCGTGACAGATCATGAACTTGACCCTGATCTTGAACCTAATTCTGAATGCGTGCATGCACATACATGCACACACACACGTGTCTTGCATTACTAACCATCACACCATTGATTCGTGACAGATCATGAACTTGACCCTGATCTTGAACCTATTTCTGAATGCGTGCATGCACATACATGCACACACACACATGTCTCGAATTTCTAACCATTACACCATTGATTCGTGACAGATCATGAACTTGACCCTGATCTTGAACCTATTTCTGAATGCGTGCATGCACATACATCAGAGGTCAAGTTCATGATCTTGTCACGAATCAATGGTTGTGGATGGTATATGGCAAAATGGAGACCGTGGTCGTGGATGTATGTGGCCATGCACGCATTCAAAATAGGTTCAGGATCAGGGTCAGTTCATGATCTGAAGAATATGGTGTAATGGTTTAGCAATTCGAGCCATGTGCGCGTGCGCGCATGGTATGCTGCATGGCAGCATTCAGAAATAGGTTCAAGTTCAGGTCAAGTTCATGTATGTCACGATCAATGGGCCTGTGATGGTCTAGAATGCGAAACAATTGTGGGCGCCATGTATGTGTGCACGCAGTGCAAAATTAGATCGGTTTCAAGATTCACATCCGATTCTAATTCGGTCAGGAATCGAATAGGCATGGATTAGAAATGATAGACGTGCGTTAGTGCAAGTCATGGGCTGACAGCATGCAAAAATTAGGTCAGATCACAGTCCGATTCATAATTGTGGGAATCAATGGCATGTAGTGATTGAAATGGAGACGGTGCGTTTGTGCCGTATGTGCTAGCACAGATGCAAATTAGGTTCGCAAGATCACAGTCTGATTCATATTCGGCAGGATCTGATGTGTATATGTAGAAAAGGGGGGAAATGAGGTGCATGTACGCAAATAATGCCACAGTTAGAATCAAATGATGATGTCCTAATATGTTAATTACAAGGAACCAATAGTTAATAATTACGAAATTGGGCGTTCACGCAAGGACTTGTAATAAGTCCTGTTCATGTATTAATCACCCTAATTCATGGTTAAATTCCCTACTTAAAATGAGTGCGACTGTTTCGGACGAAGCGTAATTTAACTTTTAATATGTTCAAGTTAATCACATATTGATGCATCAGAGCATGGTATTAACTCAGAAGATGATTAACATCAGCTTATATCATATGAGTTGATAGTACTGTAATGAGGCGTCTTATGTCCCCAGGGTACTGCCGAATACTGGTATAAATTAGCTGCCTATCTAAGTATGCCGGACGTACTGGCATTACTCCCACTAACGAGTCTAGGGAGTCGCGTGAGCTATCCCTACCCTAACCCTAAATCTAACCCTAACGTAACCATATAGGCTAGCTTAGGTTACCCAGGGTAGTTTTGGTATTACCGAACGTACCAGCCCTCCGGGATAGACCCTATTCGCGCTGAGTACTAGATGTAGTTAGTCTATAGTACTGTATATTAAGTACGCTGCCAGATTTTCACAATTGGAATTTTATTCATATTTTTACCAAAGAATTTAAAATTATCTAAGATTAGCTGCACTAATTTAGTCATGTTTAACTGCAAATTAATTCCTTTTCATGTACCGAATTTGACAGTACTTTTGGGTTGTCAGCCATTTTGAATACAGTGTTAGTCATGTTTAAGTCGGTTAATTCAAGTGATTAGTTAGAATATGTACTTAATCGCTTCGTGAACTGATTTGAGGATGACTACTAATCATATATATGGAAGAAGTTAATCATGATTGTGATTTAATCTAATTAAAAGTTTATCACGCGCTTCTGTGTGAAACGGCCCACTGACTTAATGTTGTAACAGTCATCAACGGATCAAGAGGTTGGATCTCTAAATATGAATGTACAATATTCAATTGTCCACATGTTTGGGTGAGAGCAACAAGGATGTAAATTAAACTCTTTGCAGCGCCTCTGTTAGCAGAAACATTTGAAAATGAGTACAGATAGTGCCCATCGCATACGCATTTCACATAACGAAAGAAAATATTTGTCTATCAGATAGGCAAACATGAATGGAAGATATGAGAGTAGGGGCGCTACCAACCGTCCCTCACTCACTGGACATCTGTTTCTCAAACAGTGCTTGTCGAAAACCTTTGTCAATCGTGCATAGCCCAGGGCAAAGCCAATGAATAAACCTCGTATTCGTGGTGATCACACGGTGCGACTTCATATGTGAGAGGTTAACGTCGAGGACATGTTAAGTGGTGTTTACAATGCACTTTGGTGTTGAGACCAAGATAAGGCAAGGAGGAGGCGTTGTAAGGGGCGAAATGCGGTGGTGGAGAGATTGCAACTTTGGTGTTAGACAGAAAAGCAGAAGGAGATGGGAGTAAGAGGCGATGGTGGAGGAGAGCTTGAATTTGGTTAGACAGAAAGCCAGGAAGAGGAGAGTAAGGGCGGAATTGCGCTGGCTATGAGGGTGATTCACGCATCATGAGAAATATAGGTAATCAAGAACGAAGAAGCACAAGATTCAATGTGGCGAGGAGGTGAGAATGACACATGGTAGAGCAGGAATCTAGAGTAAGACCAATAAAGCTGGAAGCAGAGAAGAGGGGGCAGAAGTTGAGAAGAACAGAACAGTAAAAGAGGAGAGATAGCAATTGCAACAGGCTACCGATTCACATGCACAGGTGAAACATATAGGGTAGTGTGAGTTATACTATATTACACTCTCTACTTGTGCGTGGAGTAATACCTTGAACAGATCGTTGTAGTTCATACATAGCTCCTCTACAAAGTGCATGATCGCTTAGCTGGGAAAGCACAAGCTCGCCCTTGATCTCCTCTGGAATTGGAACCTTTGCCTGAGGCAACCACGGCCCGTGTAGGATCTGTAACGAACTGCATCGGAGTAGTTCGTGGTGTCCCTACAGGGAGGATCAATGGAACCTTAGCCTAGAGCAGTACGCTCAGTATTAAAAATTGTGACAGATGCACCACGACTTGTCGTGGGTGGTTTAGGGGTTCCTTAAAATGGCAATGCCACAGGTAGGTGCATTCTGCAGAAGTTACAGACAACTACGATATGCTCTCACAGCGTAGTGCGATAGAGCAGGGATGGACAAAGACATGC